AGTGTTATCTCACTCTTTCCATTTAAAAGAACACGCATGTTTTTAGAATTGTAATACAATTGGGAATTGGATCCAGTACAAACAAGAGTAGCTTCTTGCTCAGTCTTAATTTATGGGCTGTACTTCTACTTTGGGGTAGGCAAGGAAGATGGAATAATGCAGGAAAAAGTGCACATTCTTAACCAAAGCTACATGGATGCAGGTTCTCTGTATGACTTTGAATTTTGGGGAAGATGGTGGGCTCTTACATCACCTTATGACATTACCTTGTTGATTGAGCCAGAAGGCATTGAAGTGTGGATTATTCCAAAGTAAAGACAAGAAACAGGAAGGATTCTGGCAAGATTTGTGAACTAAAGAAAGTAGGCAGTATTGCTGTTGAACAAAGCGCTTCATTATTTATTTGCAGAACCTCACCACCGTGCAAGCTGCACACACCTAAGTGTGTGAACACACTCTTTCCAAAATAGCTAAATAACCTTACATTCAACTACTTAAAAGTGTTAGTTGCTTGTGTTCAAATAAGTTTTGTACTTTAGTGGTAGATTGAGAAACTGTTTATTTAATGGAATATATCTTAATCTTCTTGCTCCTTTCTTCTTTCTCTCTTCCCTTGTCACCCTTGCTTCTCCACAGTTCACACTGGGTGAACGTCTACCTGAATGGATCTGGGCATGGTTTGCACAGTACTTCTGCAGAATTATACGCAAGGAAGCTTTAACACACAAAGCAAAATAGGAATATCCAGATGTCCATTATAAATAAGTACTGGAATCTGATCAGAATGCTACAAAATGGTCAAGTGAATCCTGGATGTACTGCAATTTATCCATAACTTGCTTAACAGTGTAACTAGTGTTACTTGTAGCAATAACCTAGACATTAGAAGTCTGGATCCCGCATCGTTGTGCTAAGCAGCTCCTTCTCTGCATTCCTCCAGGACAAAGAGTTGATCTCGGTTCACTTTGTCTGTAAGGTAATAGGACAGGAGCAGATATAACTTTAATTCTGATAGTAAATGACTCTCTTTTGTGTAGTGCTATGTAATCTTGATTTGTAATGTTAACAGAATTTGAGAATTCTCCAGCTCTGGTGATATTGGGCCCAAAACAAATCATGCTGTTTTGAAAAGACAGTCCTATTCAATCAATATGCAGTTTATGAGTCTTCTGGTCTTTTTATGGCAGGTCCTTGTATGTTTTAAGTGCAAATATTGTTTTTGAACAGGGTACTTACCATACATCTTAATTTTGATAAAGTCATGCTAATTTGGAGGTCATTTAAATGACAGAAAAGGTCTTACAGAACTGCAGAAGAATTTGAAGATAACGGTTTTTTTTTCTTTCTTATTCTAAGTGTGAATGCTTTTGACTACGCTTTAAATATTCCTTCAGCAATCTGAAGCGTGACTGAAGAATTGAAACAGATTGTAAAAAATACATTAGCTAAGAAAAAGTAAAAAAGAAAGAGTGTTCTAAGAACAAAAGATAGTTGCATATGACAATTTAAAAAAAGTTACTGATGTCTTGATTCTGTATGGCTGTTTTTATTTATATTAAAAAATGTGTATATATATTTACTAGGTGTCATCTGGTATCGCACTGCTTGTATTTCTTGTAGAGACTAAATTTCACAGCTGTCCTTTCTTTGAACATATTTGCTGCCTGGAACAAGATGTATCTTAAGATTCAGAACATTCGTTCTGTATTTGATATCATCATTAGTAGTGCTTCTATAATGTTACACTGAAATATCAAAATGATGAAAATAACTGTGCAGCATTTTATACACAGCACTATGTCTTTAGGATAGAGCTCCTCTCAGGCTGTTGCCCATTTAAACAGGTTCATTTCCTCTTAATAAATTTTTCAGAAAACAGTTTTTGGCTGCCTTTGCAGCCCAGCTGTGAAGAAAGCTTGCTCTAGGGGTGGTGACCACTGATGAAATGTACCACCCACCCCTCACTGTGCTACATCCACTGTGCGGTTGCCATAAACACTCAACAAACATCAGTGAATGTTAGTGCCATTTTTTTTTTTCACATGGAGGAATTCAGTTGCATCCCTACGCCTCATCTGCACTTCCATGTCGGGCACCATTCTGTCAGACTGCCCTTCTGCTGCCATATGTCATGTGGCAACAACATGTAATGGATATTGGTGGGAAGATTTGACTTCCATTGCCATACCATCAGCATCTGCCTCTGATGTTATCGGACAGATGGGATTACTTTTGGAGCAGCTCTGATTGTGTTCAGGCAAATAGCGTGGAGTAGGCAGCCCACGTCTGCGCCTGAACTCCAGCAGCACTGCCTGGATGCTGGGGTCTGCGCACTGCAGGCAAACCTGCAAGCCAGCCTGGGAAGACAAATAAGCTGCTCTACTGAGGCTCAGATCTTCTGATCCTTGAGTGGGATGAACTCATTTCTGATCGTTTCAGTCTGTACGGCACTGCTGGGGGCACGCCTCAGTGCTGTGCTGAGCGCTGGGCCCCTGGGTGCAGGAAAGACGTGGAGGTCCTGGAGTGTGCCCAGGGAGGGGAGCGGAGCTGTGAGGGGTCTGAGCACAGCGCTGTGGGAGCGGCTGAGGGAATGGGGTGGGTCAGCGTGGAGAAGAGGAGCTCAGGGCAGAGCTCTGCAGCCCTGACAGGAGGCTGTGGGAGGGGATGTCAGCCTCTGCTCCCAGGTAACGGCGACAGGGCGAGAGGTGGTGGCCTCACCAGGGGAGGGTCAGGTTGGATATTAGGAACAATTCGTTCTCCACAAGAGTGATGCAGTGGCACAGCTGCCCAGGGAGTGGAGGAGTTGCCGTCCCTGGAGCATCCTGGAGCCGTGGGGATGTGGCACTGAGAAACAGCTGGGGTTGGACCTGGGGATGTGAGAGGTTTTTGCCGATCTTAATGGTTCTGTGATTCTTTACCACTTGTTCGTAGTGCATTCTTGCAGCCGAGCACTCCGCTTTTTGGGGGAAGGAGGGAGTCGGGCTGACAGGGAAGTGGGCTCGGGCCATGTCTGCTCGTGCTGCCCACAACTGACCACACTCTCAGCTGTTTGTTTCAACTTATGGTGTTAGCAGCGCGTAGTACATCTGCAATGACGTACATGTACTTGAAAATGGGACTTAAGGAGGGCCGAGTGAAAAATTCCTTATTTTTTTTAAATCTAAGACTTAAATGGCGTTATGAAGCTATTGCTGTATTCCTAGTGGGGCTTGTTTGTCACTCCCACCCACCAACAACATACCCTAACATTCCCTCACAGGCATTAAACCCTATTCAGTCATGTCCTCAAACATGATAACAAACAATTCTTTGATTTTATAATTATTTTCAGTACGCAGAAGAACACAACCTTCCGTTAGTCGGTAAAACAAACAGCCACCACGCAACCCTACGCCCCACACCCAGCGGCGCAGTGCGCATGCGCCCGCCCCTCACGCAGCGCCGGGACCTCTCGCGAGAGCGCTGAGGTAAACATTGCACAAAATGGCGGCGGCGGGCCTGGGGGCGGCTGCGGCACGGTGAGCGCGGCGGGCGGGAGAGCGGGTGGGACGGCGGCCCCGGCGCTGCTTCGTGCCCAGTGAGGCGATAACAGCCCCGGTCGCGGTAGGAACTTGCGGTGTGGCCGCCCGTGCCGGGCATTGCGACCTGCGGGAGTGCTGGGCAGTGCCTCGGGCTGTGGGGCAGTCCGGGCAGAATGGTTCTTCTTCCTTTATCTTTTCACGGCCTTTCCACTGTATGTTGCTGGTTCAGGATTGCATCGCAGTGTTTCTTGAATTCCACCTTGGAAGAACAGGACAGGAAGAGGCTGCTCCTCCACGTGAAAAACATTTTCCACATTGTTTTTTAATTTCTCACTGTTACGCAAACCCAGCCCGTTTTCTCAGGTGCCCTGTTGTGTTAGCCATGGTCCTGCTCAGGAAAGCCTGAAAGCCTCCTTTCATAACAATAATCTCTTTCAAGCCTAGGAACTAAAAATTTGCTTGCAGTGATGGTATTTCTTGTCCTTGCTAGCTGCAGGAATAGGCGTTCAGCCTGCTGCTCTTTGTGTCAAATTACATGCCAGAGCATTATCTACATAGTCCGTGTTCCTGAGTAGAGACAACCCACCACCACGCTTCCTGAAGCACCCATGGACAGTTTCTATCATGCTTCATTTTGCTTTTATTTTTTTCCTTGTGCGTGCCTTGCATGTCAGTCATTTTTATTCCGCTTTTGTGAAGGGGAATAGAGTTCAGTTGTCCCTGTTATCTGCTCTACTGCCAAGTTAATACTTGAGTATCTCAGAGATACCTGGTGTGAAGGAGGAAGAGACTCAAGTGTTCTTGAAAAGTTACTAAATGAAACTGTTTCTTTATTATTTCTAAGGCTAACTGCTGAAGGAATCTGCCTTTTGGGCTTTTTCAGGCTCTGCATTTTACATAAATGTGGATGTAACTATTTGCTGTGTTGCCTTGCAGGTCAGCTTGTAAACCACTTAGCTAATTCTTCTAGGAAGTTAACTTTGCTCTCTGAAATGGAGTACAGGACTCAGCTACCATATCGTGAGTGACTGAATCATTTAATACAAAATGGAGAAGAAACGTAGAAAGAAATGAGCCTGTTTATTAGGCTTTACCTCAAAAGACAATGAAATCTGTACTTGCTTCGGACACAGATTTAAGAATATCCAGTTGAACGGCACAGTGAAATCAACGTTTTCTGAAACAAAAATGAACTAGTTTATAAAGAAGAAGAGTGTGAATTGAATATATGGAATTCTTGGAATGAAACCATTTTCTTCTATGACCATGAAGTTTGCAAACATCTGGTTTGTTCTGGTTGTTATTTTACTCTGTGGCAAAAAACACTTCAGTACCAGACTAGGGAATTCCTCTCATGAGGCTCAAATATGTCCTGGATGTTCTCGCCTGACTTTGAAAGTGGAGTTCTCTTCGACAGTCGTGGAGCATGGTAATAGAGTTGAGCAGTTAAAAATAAATAAATCCATGTTATGCTGAAGTTAGTGTTAATGAATCGTGGCATTTGTGCAATGGTAATATTCAGAGGCATGGGTGGAACTTCTAAATTATCTGCATTCAGACTGAGAAAGAATTTTATGAAGGTTCGTGGTTTAACTGGACACAGAATATGAAGAACAAGGAAAAGGAAGAGAGGGGTTAGTAAGGAGTATGTTAAAAGTGGAAATAGAGCGTGGAGGTTCAGGTGAGCCAGCATGGTCACTTAGCTGTGGTTTCGTAGCTTTTTGTTTTACACACTCAGTGGAATGAGAAAGACAAGGGGAAGTATGTGTGGTTTTGGGTTTTTTTCTGTGAAAAATGTTTGAAAGCAATAATACGTTTGTGGAAAAGTAGCAAAGTAAGTGCAGAGAGAGCAAATGAAAGGCAAGCTGAGGCTGGTATCAATCCTGAGAGGGCAAAGGATAACTGTAGAGAGGAGCAAATAAAATGGGTGCTGAATTGAATATGGTCTGCAATGCTGAACAGAATGTCAAAGGAGGACAGATGCCATTGTATAGAGTGCAGTCTGTGTTGGTGTGGCAGCTGTGTACGTGTAGAACTGTGGGATAAATGTAATGTAGGTGTGCTGTATGAATGGCTAAGCATTGTGGAAGAAGGATGAACAATCAGCACTTAACATCTGTGGTTCTTATAGAATGCACAGGTGCCATTTTTGACAACGTCTCTGCTGTGTTTGAACCTGTAGTTTCACGTAACAAACAAACAAATTTTACTCTATCAGAAGTCAGTGTCTAAACTGTCTTCAGTTTGTCATGGTCATAGATAATAGATCTGTTCCCATAGTGGAGCTGTGTGTGTGCCTGAGCATTCACACGCAATGTTGGTAATGACATGTTGTCCATTAGCTAACAGAGGGCTTGTTGAGGTGATTGTGGCACTGCATGATGGGTCTGTGTTCCACCCACAAGTTACCCGGATTGAGGGACTCTTGGGACCAGCGTTGTCCTCTGTGCATGTCGAAGCTGGTGTCAGTAATTTCCCTAAAACTCAAACTCTAAAACTCGTTCCCTCTCCTGTGTTCACCCCGCTCACTTTTCCATGCTGTCACAATTCTGCCTTCATTTTGGGGACCTTTATCATATTTTAAGTGCTTCATCATGCACAAACTTTACGTAGTACAGAAATAAATATCAGACCTGTAAAGCAAAAAACAAAAAAGTGCCTCAAATGGTGCCTATTTGTTTTGAATAAAGAGAAAGAAATATTCAGTAACTAGAGTGCATGATTAGGCTGCTTTGAACATTGGTTCTGATAAACTGTACTCTTGTTCCAGAGTATATTGTGGCTTTTAATGGATACTTCACAGCTAAAGCTAGAAGTAAGTTTATTTCAAGTGCACTAAAAAGCAGTGATATTGAGAACTGGAGGATTGTACCTCGCAACAACCCAGCCAGCGACTATCCGAGTGATTTTGAGGTGATTCAGATCAATGAGAAACAGAAGGATGGC